TAATAGAACAATTTGCTGTTCTTGTGTCATTCTGATGTGTCCTAATGTGATCTTGTGACACGTGTTAAGTCAGCACAGCCTGAGGTGTTTGAGAAGTAAAACACCTCAGGCTGCCTTGGTGGATGGTGACACTGCTGAGGAGGCTATAGAAGTGTGTGATATGGCAGAGAGCACTGCTTATCCACCACTGACACCAAGGCTTAGTACAGGATGTTTCAGCAGCTTTTGTGTGATAGCTGTCAAAAGGCTGCACTTCCCACACACGTCCACCACCAAGGTGGATTGTGAGTCATTGCTATGCTGTTTTTTTGTCATCGTGGTGCAGCTTTAACCAATGGCAACTATACATTAGAAAGTATTCAGTTAAATTACTGCAACATTTTCTGTTCACTTATCGTCTGCTATTCTGCTGTTCTAACCTTTGAAAGAAAGAAGATACTGTGCTAAACTCTGTTTAGCTGTATTGTGTTGTCCTAGAAACCTTGCTTGAAGTAACAACAGATTAACACTATTGATAAATATGTCTCTAAAATATATATATTTACCAAAATCATCTACACAGTGAAGAACAAAACATATTTTTTTATATGATCCATTGATGAGAATAATTACGTTTGTTAATAACCAAAATATTGTGTTATATATTTTTCCTATGATTATTGTTAATAGTAATGTTTGTTAAGTTATCTTTCTCTGCAGGTCATAAGGTACAAAATATATTTGGCTCAGTCAGCTATTGTCTGTCAGCTGCTAAAAAGAATTTGGATTACAGCCCAGTGTTTAAATGAATTTGTGGCTCCATCAAATATGCTCTGTAAAGTCACCATCTCTGCACATTGTATTGATTAAATGCACATTACATCTGCATTAAAGTCCACATGATGATGTTTAGTTTTCGTTGGCTGACTTGACTGTTCTCGTCCAGTGTGCTGCTGGAGTGGAAGGAGCGACTAAAGCAGGGCTGCCACCTGATCCAGACCACACCCTCGGGACGTCCAGCCAACATCAGCGGCAATTCCTCACAGCGCATCTATATCACTTACCGTCGAGCAGCAGAGAGTCAGCCACATGCTGCTCTGGCAGTCACTGACATCTGCATCATCATCCCAAGTAAAGGCGAGACACCACCTCACACCTTCTGTAAGGTGGACAAGAATCTTAACAGCAGCATGGTGAGAAAAATGAGTGCTTTAAAACCCAATCTAAGAGCAGAAAGTTTCTGCGTCCACCAAATAATTGAATCTACTCCAAAGTGTAATGTGTTTTCGTAGGGTCATGTCCCACCCCTCCTCAAAATGTAATAGCCAACTTTAATTGCCAAAAGTCAGTCAGTGATTTGCAGCAGTACAGTATTGGAATTTTAGTTGTTGGAGGTGGTTTGGACAATATTTCTATGGCTTTGTGCTGTTTTACTATAATTTTTTCTCTAAATACAGTATAATCAATCTGCTGATGCAAAAACACTTAAAATTTCCTGAAAAGTGTATGACTTTTTTAGCCATAGATTGGTTATGTTTATTACATGTACTGTATTATACTCTTGATAGTTACCTTGACTATTCTACTCAAAACCTAAAATTTTAAAATATTGTCATATCAGAAGTCGTGTATTTTTAAAACCACATACTTCTGATCGGCTTAAACTTGTGTGATTAAAAAGTTCTTTATTTTGCAAGAACTGAACAACTTACATGTCAGTAGGACACATGTTTTGTAAAATAGTTCTCAGGATCACATTAATGTCTAACAACAGCATATTCATCATTAAAAAATGTCATTTGACGTTTGAGCTGCTTGTTGTAACCATTAGGCGATGCTGAGTCTTAACATTTTACTGCGTCCATCATTATAGGCATGTTTTACAACAGGCACATACCTTAGCGCTGATGACCTGTGTCTGCAGAAGTCGTAACACTTTTTTATTACATGTGATTAAATTTGTGTAAAATCTCCGTTTAGCTCTGGCTAATGTCCACAATTAGGCACATATATAGAGCACTTCATCAGGCAAATTAACAACTTGTTTGACCTCTGCTACTTAGGAGGTTAAAAAGCTTTTTCTGATTTTACTTTCTGCTATATCTTTGTCGCTCATGAAGACTTCACGTTAATACTTTAATTGGGCTCTTAATTTGGAGTAATTGTAGAAGACATAAAATATATTTGTCAAAAGCACCCACTGGCCCAAAGAGACATATTAACCTTCTCTGCTTCCCTCATGTTTGCAGTGGGGCTCATCTGTCTACCTGTGTTACAAGAAGTCTGTGGCCAAAACCAACACAATAGCCTACAAAGCAGGTGAGTTTTCCTAATCCCATAACAACCGGTGAACAGATCCTAATGACTGACTGTGCACCTCCTCTTCCTGCTGCTACAGAATATCGAGTAACAAGCCCTCTTTTCCTTTCCCACCACTTCTGGTACATGGCTGGTGTTGTGTGCTGTGTGAGAAAAAGTAAACAATGGGGGAATAGTAATTTGAATAAAAATTGGATATTTCCCTAATTAATGATTAATTACAGAATAATCAGAGTTATCAATAAATACAATAACTTTTTCTTCATGCCTATGTCTGGCAGAATATTCTCCTGCAGGGTAAATTATACTGCAGTAGCAGCAGGTTTGGGCTTGTCAGAGGATGTGTACACCTCATCGTCTCAGACATGAGATCAGCACCTGCATGCTTATGCTGTGTATTTTGTTGTTGCATTTTTCTTCCCACAAAGGTTAAAGCAGATGCAACATACTCTATATGATGGATTATTAAATATTAAATATGAACACAAACATGGTGATATAACTCTATATATGTACTGTAATAGTAATAATTTACATTATTATTAATATTATGAATAGATGCAGTTGTTCATGCTAAAATAACTGCATGATTTTAGAAAATTGATCTATCTCTGAAACTGCATGAAAGTTTCAGTTGTTTTTTTATCTTATTTTTCTAGTCACCTCTACCAGATATTAAATATATTTTCCTAAATTACTTTTATTTTTTCTAAAGTAAGTTTAGCGGGGGAGTATACAGTACATTGATTATAATTAATTACTAATTGAAGACCTTTTTTCTGTAGAAGTCCATTAAAACACTATCCTGGTTTAATTGTACACATTTTTAGTGATTTTTTAAAAACAATAAAAAGTTTTTGTTGCTTGGTTTTAAACCCGAAATTGCAGGATGAGTTTACTTTGGCACTATACTGACTCACAATATTTAGGCATCTAAAACTGTTTTCCTGTTAGGTTTATTTAGCAGATACCCAGAGGAAGACTACGAGTCATTTCCCTTGCCTGAGTCTGTCCCCATCTTCTGCCTTCCCATGGGAGCCACCATCGAGTGTTGGCCTGCAAACACCAAATATTCCCTCCCTGTATTTTCCACCTTTGTCCTCACTGGAGCCTCTGGAGAGAAGGTAAATTCAGAGAGCGGCCAGAGTTTCACTATCCCACTCTGTCGTCTGCATGACTTGTCTGTCATCCAGAAGAACTTGTCTGCAGCAGCACCATCTGTGATAAGCCGCAAGTGACAGTTAGACCTCATCCACAGAGTGTAACTGCCGTCTCTTTAAACAATGAGAGAGGGAAACCACCGTACTGTTGACACAATGAGGGAAAGTTGGTCAGGAATGCAGGGTGAATTGTGTGCTGAAAATCTGCACCAGCATCTCTACATCTAGTCTCTCATTTATTTAGGTTTAAAGTCTGTTTTAAACACATTTGTTATTATATATAATTATATATAATATACTACTTTCCCAAAAATGTTTGTGCTAAATGATCAGATTTTCACCAAAAACAACAATGAATATATATGTATAATTGCTGAAGTTGACAGATCAGAGGGTTGTTGTTCTACTGTGCTTCTAGAAAAGGGTAATAACAACAGCCAAGTTGGAAAGCTTCCAAAAATGGGAGAAAATGAAATTGAAAACTCTGTAAACAACTAGCCATCTCTTTGTTGTACTTTGTAGGACAGGATGTGGATCAGTCAGTGGCTGTTCTGCAAAAGAGATGTGAAATTCTCACTTCAGTTGGCAGTGGGGTTTATTTTGACTCAGTGCAGATACTTGCAGCCAGTTGTGTGTTTTTGGCAGCGGGTAGCAGCACTTGTATTGATCTTCAATAAGGTTAAACACAGTGAATTAGAGTCACTTAATTTCAATGAATATTGATCTTTTTATTTATCCAGGCTTGCTTTTTGGATGAACTGAAAACTGAAAGAAGGGTTGCTCAGACCTTCTAAAAAGGTTGATATTATCTGTGACTAACTGCTTCTTCATCTGATCATTGAAGTTTAGATGTTGATAACTGTTGGATTCTGGTGTTTCATTATTAGAATGGTGCATTCTGTGCCTGTATGTTTCTATCGCTTTCTCCATACTCCATGACTTGACTGCTGTCTCTTCTATTGTAGGTGTACGGTGCTGCCATACAGTTTTATGAGCCCTACCCTCAGGAGTGTCTGACTGATCAACAGCTCTTCCAGCTGGGCCTCCTGAGTGCAGATTCATGCAAACCATCCTCCTCGTCTTCCTCCTCCTCCTCTTCCTCCTCCAACAGCAGCAGCACCAACAGTCACCTGGTCTACACCAACAAGTGTATCTGTTTGCTCTCTCACTGGCCCTTCTTTGATGCTTTCCGCAAGTTCCTTACATTCCTGTATCGCTACTCCATCTCTGGCCCTCATGCCCTGCCCATTGAAAAGTGAGTCTGACTCTGTCTAATTCTATCTCAGTAACCTCAGCAACCTATATTGCCATTGCTCTTAGATACAGATAGATACAGTATATTTATACATTTTTGTGGAAATGTATTTTTTGCTGCCACTTTTAGAGCACATTTTAACATTCATTATTAGGAACAGAATTTGTTTATAAACAGAGATTAAATGATCCCAGAACATTCCACATTGCTCCAGTGTCATGCTGGATATTTTTGGTAAAGTTTGGTTAGGTAATGCGTGACAGAAGATTCATGCCCCTTCTGTTCTCCCTCTGTTCTTAATTCCTCCCTCCCTGAACAGACTGCTTTGATGGATTACTCTGCCTCCCATAGCTGTTATTTTTGGTCTCACTTTCCTTTAATTCTTCCTTCTCCAAGGCACATCTCTCATTTTATGCACAAAGTTCCCTTCCCTTCCTCCCAGAGGCCTCGCATCCTGGTGCAGGTAAGTCTACATTCAGGAGTTTGCAGAAGTAAGAATAATATTATTTGTCGTTATCTATGTTAAAATAGGTTATGAAAATGTTTTGCCTGAAGATTTTCTGTGGATTAATAATTCACTAATAGAACTCAAATCTCACCTTCCAACTTTTGAACAGCTTTCCCCTCATGACAGTCTGATGTTGAGCCAGCCTGTTTCTTCTCCTCTACCACTCAGGTGAGTGCTTCTACACTCTCTTCCAATGTGGCCTATTATTCCCAAGCTTCAACTATGCTTATTTAATGTGCTGTTGAATGGATATATTCATTCTTACCTGCTGGTTAAAGTGCTAACGTTTCATTAGAAAACAACTCAGTGAAAGTCATCTGTATTTGGCAGGTACAGTACATGGACGTATCTGAGTAAATGTATCATTGGGCCTCTTTTACATTCATCCTGGTAATATTGGGAACCTGTTTTTTTTAGAAGCTACAAACTTTCAGTTTACCAGTGCATACAGTACAGTACAGTACAGTACAATGTACTAACTTAGAAGAAGTTCATTGGTTTAGACAATTATATCAAGTACTGTATTTCTTATGTTACATGACCACTGTGGTGTATTACGGCCTGTTATAAAATGTGTGACTCTCATGTGTTGTTTGTAGCGGTGGTCGCTTCACCACATTGCTTCAAAACCTGGGACCAGAGAATGCTGTCACTCTGATGGTGTTTGCTGTCACTGAACACAAGATCCTAGTTCACTCGCTGCGACCGGCTGTTCTTACCAGCGTCACAGAAGCTGTGGTGTCTGTGAGTAACTTTATTCAGAGGTTTTATGTTCCCCCACGATCCCTGGGCTAATGCACTGACAAAACTTTGTCTAAGAGGCGTTTAAGAACACCTGTGTCTCTCCTTCTCCTTAGATGATCTTCCCTTTCCACTGGTCATGCCCATATATTCCCCTGTGCCCTCTGGCATTGGCTGATGTGTTGAGCGCCCCCTGTCCATTTATTGTTGGAGTAGATTCTCGCTACTTTGATCTGTACGATCCACCACCAGATGTCAGCTGCGTGGACTTGGACACAAACACCATCTTCCAGTGAGTGCTTTAAAGGAAATACAGTCAACAAAATCCAAGTAGTACATATATATTTGTATGATCATTCGAATGACAAATGAAACAGTACTAATTGCAGAACTCTTTTCTTTGTTGATGTTTGGTTAAAGGTGAACTTACAGTAGTATAAGTATAATTTTCAACCCATTTTTAAGCCCAACAGCATTTCCTCTGCCGCGTATCCTGGGCATTTTGCTGCAGTCTTTCTTTTTGAAGTGTCAGGCATGAAAAGAGGATAATTTAGTGAATGCCCAGTCAGGCCAGTCGTGGTTAATACCATTTTTGGTCTCATTATTCTCCAAACAGTGTTAGGGTGGTCTGAACTACCCAAAGGAACCACCCAGTCCCTGTTGGTTTTGGTGTTGTGGTTTCACCAGAACTCAACTTTTTCCCTTTGCTCTTTTAGCCATGAGGATAAGCGAGCAGTCACATGGAAGATCCTGCCAAAGAAAGCCTGTAAAAATCTGATGAATGCTCTGAGCCATCTCAATCAGCAACTGATTGACGGTATGTCGGAGGGTGATGTATTATAAAATTGAATAAAGAAATATACAAACTGACCCTTTGAAAATATATTTTAAGCAAACCTTTCAATGTTGTTTTTTAAATAAAAAGTTTGCTATATAATAATGATTACTTGTGATTACCCTCGAAACATAAGGATATTGAGTCAGCATATATGTTATCATTTACACCAACGATTCCTTTTGTTGTTTCTCATGCATAACTTGTGTTGTACTTTGTTTTTAGGTCAGCACAGATCAGATGGGCTGCTGGAACTGAGCATGTGCGATTCCTCTGAGCTGAGCTGTGGAAAGAGCATTCACACACTGGAGTTGGAGATCCAGGAAGCTTTCCTACGCTTCATGGCAGCCATTCTGAAGGGCTATCGGTTATTCTTAAGACCCATCACCCAGGCACCCTCTGAGAAAGCTACAGACGCTAGTTCACTTTTTGATCTGCAAGGTATCAGCGATAATGTCACTGTGGTTATTCATCCTGAAAATGTAATTCCTGTGTAGTATTTCATATTGAGACAGAGAAAAGAAAGATTGTGTACCTTTCCTCAGGAGCCTTTTAAATGCCTTAAAATGTAAAATATTGTGACAATTCAATGACAACTGAACAGAGCTGGCCAAAGTTGTGTCAAGAGTGGGTTACTTGGTATAGCAAACAGAAGTCAGACATAGTGGACTGTTTGTGCATCAGGTAGAAGAAAAACCTACTTTTTCCCCTTCTTTTTAAATAGTATGTTAGCTCTCCGTTATGCCTCTTTTTTTTCTTCTGCCATCTTTCCAAACAACTCTGCCTCTATTTTCTAAGACAGTTATCAACCCTAATGTCATAACAGTTTTACATGCAAAGATTGTCCTGAGGCCTGTCTGGGATATAGATCATAAAAAGCTCTAGAGTGAATCCTCCGAGATGAATTTTGATCTTGGGCAATAAATGAGTGCAGACAACAAATCTTATGATTAAAACACTGAATGCCTGCAGGAAGTATTTCTCAGCAGAGCCAGTGTTTGGCTTCTTCCGCTATTTAGTCAGCCATTGGCCATTGATCCTGCTTTTAGTCGCAGCAGTGGTTGTTAGTCTGTTAAACAGCTTTCAGCATCAGGCCAGGAAGGAAGCTATCCACTATATTCTCTAAACCCAAACTGGCCATTATACTAATTACACTGGGTGCAATGTTGGGCGGCATTATCCAAAAAGAGACAAATGGAAGTTACACACTGTTGTTGGACCTTTTTAAAGGATTCTCTTATTTATGTTAGCAATTCTTTAGCAGTGAAACCGAGAAACATAGGAGTGTTTTTTTATCATTATAATTTCTTAGATAATAAAAGATGATTTTCATTGTTACTTTAGATTAAATGCAATGATATTTTCCCCAGGTTTTCTGAAAAGCCGAGATCGCTCACACCAAAAGTTCTACTCACTGATGACCAAGACCCAGATGTTTAGCCGCTTCATTGAGGAGTGTTCTTTTGTCAGTGACAAAGACGCCAGTCTGGCCTTCTTTGATGACTGTGTGGACAAAGTAAGGTTTTGTTCCTCTGTTCAGAAAATGACATGATGTACTCAATAATGTCTAGATCGAGCTTTTATTGTTTATATATCTGAAGTATTATATATCTAACATCTACAGTATTCAATCATGTAATTTAATTCAAGTGATATAACTGTTCTAGGATGTCCCAGATAGTCATGAGTAGTTACTGCATGCTCTATTGGTCACTATTAGACTACTAGAACGCTAGTTGTTCTTAGGAAGGTACAGTATATTAGTAAAAGCATCACATTAAATCATCTTCAGAGAGGCTTATATGTGGTCAACGTGTTTACAGAAACAAACAAACAGCTTTACTATAATAGTTTTTCAGAACAATGCCTCTGTGCCTGTTCTTATCTATCCTGCTGGTTCACTTGGGTGATTTTTTTCTCCCTCTCCATCTGTGAGCAGCTCTACAATTCAGAGCGAAGTGCAGACAAAGGAGGAAAGGTCAGTCTATTTTTAATAACCATTAATATAATACCTTATATCTTTTGGAACACCATAGGTCACCTTGCAAAACAGCAAAAAAAAATAGTGAGATTTCTCCCCGTCCCATATGCCAGTTTGGAAGATGTGTTTGAAGAGGTTTATTTCACAGACCTCCAGTGAGTTCCAGAGTTGCTATTGTAAATAAATGGTATGTGAAGCAGTAAACTGAACAGAAGAAGAGGACTTGAGAGAACTTGGAGATTAGTGGGTCACTTCTGGGGCTTCCTTCTCCACGCAAGATCATTTCTAAAATTAAGAATTTGGCCTATTGCCAGACCCTAGCAAATAAAATATAGTGAAGGTAATGTGTAGTCTGTATAGTCAACAAAAATCACTGCTTTAGCACTTGAGTACCAACATTTTTCTTCTGACCTCATATTGGGCTCATATTGTGTAGCATGAAATTATGAGCCAGCTCCAGTGTCATGTGCGTCCCCACTGACTCATGGGAGCATGGTCCTCTATAAAAATGTTTGTTGAAGGGTAAATTTGTGCCTTTGCAGTCTGCTAGTCTACAGAACATTTCTGTGTCTGTGTCTGGTCAATGGGTCAATGGTTTCTGCAGTCAACATTTACTATAGACCCTAAAATAGACTTGGATGTCCTTGGTGTACTTTGTGTTAAGTGATACGTGATGTTGAGGTCAACATCCACATCCTCCCTTGTGATGATAGGGACTTTGGTCCACTCTGATCCTCTCTCTCATTGACGTGAGAAATTGAATCCTCTGTCTTTCGGCACTGTGGCTGTGTTAATTTATTCATAAGGAGAGAAAACCACTGTACAACTCAACTCACAGAAACGTTTGATGTACTAACATCTTGACTTGTGCTGCCGTAACAGTAACAGATGGTTCTTTGCTAAAGCACTGTGGTTTCCAATAAGGAAAGGCATGTCAATATTGTTTACATTTTAATAAACGATAAACACACTGACATTTTGGCTTTGTTAACTATCTTAATTTTTATTGCTGTCACTTTAACCAGACTGAATTATAAATTTCCTGGTTCTCTTCCTTCTAATCCATTATCATGAAAATCATTCCTTGTAGCACTTAAGGCTGACGTTAAGTATTTCCTAATTTATGGCACTTCCCCTAATGACCCATCATTCTTTTTCTTATCTGACTACAAGCCTTAGCTTCAATTCATCAGGATATCGAAAATATGTTTTGCAATTCCAAAAATCAGTGGAGAAAAAGACATCCACTTAAAAGCATACTCTGTCAAAAACAAGTCAACATTACTAGTCTATTAGTTTATCTGTGGACGTGTTGGGTTAATCAGTGCTGTTAGACAACACTCATATTTCTGTCTCTGTATGGAGGAAGAATTTTACAAAGATTTCTATGGATTATTGATGAAGTTTTGTAATAAGCATCGGAATATCTCTAAACAGTATGATATCAAAACACAAGTGTGCTGAGACAAAACTAAAGGAAAATAATTATTTTACAGTTATGTATGGACTAGTCATTTCAGTCAGTCACATTCCTCTGCTCAAACTTGTTTAAAGATGTGGAGTTTGTATATAAAAGAAAATGACAGTTAAAACAACTATGATTTTATTCCTAAGATTTGTTTTAAACACAAAGACACTGTTTTCAGTGTTCTCAAACACTCGGTTCTTGTGTCGAACTGTTTGGTGGACTGTTCTCTCTGAAATACTAGTTACTTTACATCTGGCATTCTGGCAGAGCTTATCTAAATCTTAGTTATAAAAAGCTTTAATCTGTGTCCTGTCAGCATCCTGACATCTTTCGGGGACCTGTGGTTTTTCATACATCTGTCATGTCAGATACAGGCTCGTGGTTCCACCTAAACACACCTCTCTCTGTGCCTCTGTGTTTATGTATGTGTGGATGGTTTGCAGGCTGACAGTGAGAGGTCAGAGGAGACCAGGCTGATAGAGACTGATGAATCCCAGCGCAGTGAACACACAGTTTTCATCACACCTCCAGAGCTGCCGCCACTGCCTGAAGGGGAAGAACATCCACTCTGCTATAGGTTCAAAACCCATTCTTTTCGAAACTAAAAACCTTAAAGTTTGTCTGAAAACATTTTAATAATCCAAATAGAACAGCAGTATTACAGAAAATAATCCTTTGTTCGTTGTTACACCTCAGTCCTAAATATAAGCAGCTTGTGGGGACTCATTTCACATTCAAGTTCTCTGTGAATTTTGAGTAGATATAAACATCAAAACATGACCTTAAACAATGTGTAACCCCTTAGTAATCCACACAGATGGAGGCACCGTTTGGAGCAGGCAAAGGTTGTAAAAACGTCATCACTTTATTTATATGTGTTTTTCCTCCCATTAGGTACGATGGTTTCCCAGTGCTAAGTCTTGACCTCTTTGACCCTGTGGTCGGCCTGCGGACCCCCTTATCCCGCCACAATGCCAGACAGAGTTGCCCCACCAGCCCTGCCCCCATGTTTAGACGTACCAAGCAGGTCAGACCAACATTGACCCTCGGTTGACACACAAACATTTGACAGATTTAATTTGATAATAACTTGAAGAGGAGCCAGAATAAGAGACTCGCTGCCAAACCTGCAGCAAAAGATAAACTCTTGAGGTTATTCATATTAATGTGGCCTCAACTCAGCATGAGTACAATTTCTTAGTTATGTTGCACTACTGCCACCATCTGATGTTTTGTTCTCTTTTTCTGCTCTGGTTAGCTTTAACCCATGCTAAGGCTAACTGTCACAAACACACCACGTCCTATGTGCCGTTTTGTCCACATTTCCAATCTTTTATATTAAAAACACCTTTCTACCCAATAGGAGATTAAATTGTCTCAGAAGATAGCTAAGAAGTATTCATCAGTTCCTCAGTTGTGGTCCAAGTGTCTGCTGCGTCACTGCTACGGTCTGTGGTTCATCTGCTTGCCCGCCTATGTGAAGGTGTGTCACTCCAAGGTGAGGGCTCTCCGCACAGCCTATGACGTCCTCAGGAAGATGCAGGCAAAGAAACTGCAACCCCCTGATGAGGTACATATTGAGCTTTTCAATCTTCTCAACTAATCAACCAAGTTGATGTCTGTTCAGACAGTCTTGAATATTACATTTCAGGTTTGCTATCGAGTGCTGATGCAGCTGTGTGGACAGTACGGTCAGCCAGTCCTGGCTGTCAGAGTTCTGTTTGAGATGAAAAAGGCTGGGATCCATCCTAATGCCATCACTTATGGTTACTACAACAAGGTAAACGCCTCATTTCATTACATGTGCTTTATATGTGTCAGTCAGAGCGGTGCTTTGTTTTATTTATGTGCATGAATTACAACCTCAGATCAGTCTTTATCTTGAAGTTCACCCTTATAGCTGTGGGATGGATGGACTACATTACAAAAAAGATCATGGATTTATGGCATGGATATGAATGCATCTTGGCAAGCGCTACGTACACTGTAATGCTTTACTACTCAGAAAATATATGAGCACTGATGCTTTGAAGTACTAAAGTCCACCTTAACTATGGATGCCAAGGATTTGAATTAGTCATACTATGGAGGCACTGTTGCTAATCCTGAACAGTGTTCCGTTATGTAAATCATGCTGTCATTGTTCTTAGTTCTGAGTAATGAGAGCTATAATGCTGCACTGCATTTCCTCCTCAGGGTTTATATTAAAATTTTATTGATGTAAAGTATATGATACTGAACATTAAAATACACAATGTACAGTTGTTACTTTCATTTACACTACACAATTCCCTGACTAATGTGTATCCAAGTTACTGTCAGCTGTTTTGTGACAAAGGTTCTTATCTTTCTGTCTGACACCTATGAGACTACATCACAGTAATGCCTCTGCAGACACCTGGCTTTTGGATAAAACAGAAAATTCAAGTGGTTTTTGCAGCTTTCCCACCAAGGTTGTAAAACTCCATTTGATGATTGCACTCTGGGTTTAAGATAAATGGTCGCTATATTAAAGTGCAGCCCTGTCCCTGCTCAAGCAACTCAGGAAACATAAAAGTAAATGGATGATGTGAGGAGCAGACAGTCAGAAAATAGTAACGTTCACTACAAAGTGTTGAGGTGTTTGTAGGAATCTCTTTCTTCTCTGGTCACATTCAGTGTCTAATTCCTTTGTAACAGCATTCAGTCTTCACATTAAATACTTTAATGATCTTTTCCGAGTTTATTCCATGATGGTCTTCTTCTACTTTTGACCTTTACACCCATGCTTGATTAAAGAGGGGTTTATTTACACCCACAGTACTGTATGCCTCCATTCCTTACTAGAAAGCAGCTGTTTCTGGGTTTGTTATTGAGCTGTAAAGGCAGCATCCAGTTCAAGAATATTTTAGAAATCAATTTGCATTGTTCCGACTACTAAACTACTGAAAGTCCAGGACACGGGAGTCACCTTCACTTCACAGCTCAACTTTTCCCATCTACTCTGTACTTTCACGTCAGTGTTTCTGTACTCATAGATCAGTGTGTTTACCACCAAATATGTTGAGCATCTGTTCTTAACCAACATTTCCCTGTTTGAACAAATATTCTGAAAAACATGTCTGAAAAGCAGGGATCAGGTGGACAGCAGACGTTTGATAGATTTGAGTTATGAATTGAATTATTGTGTAATTCATTAACTTCGAGCATTGAATGAACCATAAATTCCATGTCTTTCTGTATATTTGTGCACATCAGCAATGCTGGAATGTACCTAGTTTTCTAAAGCCAAGAACAGTTTATATTAACCTGAAATGAAAACTGAACTAAAGGATGTTCTTCAGTTAACATGTTCCTTTTAACTTGATTTAATTAGAATTTTATGGCAGTCGTTTGCTAAACTCCATCCTGGCTGACGGCTCAGATATCACATCCTGTTTTGTTTTGTGAGCGCCATTGTTTTTTACTAAGGTTTAATATTATTATTATTACCAGACATTGACTTGGTGGATGTGGATTATTTTCATTGCACGAGTCGATGTCTGTCGTTTCTGTCTACTCACAGCTTTTTACAAGAATGTACAGTACATACATACATGATGATACTGTATTCCAGAAGTGATGAGCGGTTATATTTGTAGACATGGTAGGTCAGCTCACCTGTCACAGATCCTCAAAGCATTAACACAGTCTGCAGTAATAAACTTCTGCTGTTCACTGACATATTGTGATTCTCCCTCGGAGCCTCTGAAGTGTATTTTAGGAGCAGACTGTTGACAGCGGAACGTGACTGTGTGTCTAACAGCTGCAGTGGCTTTATCTGTCCTTTTCTGATTTCTGACTGTGGATTGTAAAACCACAGTATTTTATTCTTTTGATAACAATAATTTATATAAAAAAAAAATGAATCATTGTTTTGTGCAGGAATGGGACCTGCTATGTTTCATGGTGTCAGACTCTTGAGTTGTTTCAGAATTGACTTGGTCAGACTCTTAGACTCTAGCATCAACTGGAGATGAATACAGTATGAGGATATTTTCATGATTGGAAATGGAAACTAAATAGCGTAGTTTCTGGACTATAAATCACACTTTTTTCATCCTTTGACTGGGTTTGCGACTTATACTCAGGTGCGACTTATATATTAAAATAATATAATTTCATTTATTTTCACACTGACAGCTGTTAGAGGGCACTCTAGGCTTGTGTACCAGTATCTGCAACTCCTGTATCACTGAAAATTTACATGCTCTTATTTTCACATCGACAGCCACTAGAGGGCACTGGTGCGACCTATATATGTTTTTTTTTTATTCATTATGCATTTCTTAGCCTGTGCAACTTATACTTCGTAGCGAGTCCGGAAAATACAGTAAACTAAATGTTGAAGAGGTTGGATGATTATTCTGCTTCATACCTTTCTTCTCTTCACTCTTGTGTCCAGGCAGTTTTGGAGAGCACGTGGCCTTCGAGCACCAGAGGAGGATACTTCCTGTGGATGAAGTTGAGAAATGTCATTTTAGGAGTAGCACAGTTCAAACGGGCTTTAAGACGACGTGCCTTACACACTCAGAGCCCTCTGTCAGGTACAGTAAGGCTGAAAAGAACATTATCAAAATGACATGTGTTTTATTAGCAAGACATGGTAGGGTAAGTCAAAAGAAATAAAATTTAAAAAAAAAACAAGTTCTGCAAGTGGTGTTTCCACCAGAGAATAATTTTATTGTAGGATTCTGGATGTCGCCTTGCCTCATCTGTTAGCTTTTGAGAAAATGAGACTTAACTCGATCAGTGCTAGATTTTTTTTTTTTAGTGTTTAAAAAACCTCATCAAATAAAACATAGCACAGCTCAAAGATATCAAGGCTACAAGGATAGAACTTCTCAACGTTGCCTGTGATGCCTGAGGGATGTGTCTTAGCAGTTGATCCCGTTTTAAATGAAAACAGCTGCCTCAGAACTTATGAACTTACCCTCATGTCAGTCTGCAGCTTTTCCATATGAAGCATTGTGACATGAGTGACCTCCTCTCAGTGAATGTTACTGTATTGTGATCTAACACTTCAGAAGCCTGTTGTTTATCCTCTGGTCGCCCTGTGCTGCTTAGTATGAAATAAAATGTACTAATGTAGTCCTTTTTTCCCTTATAGCATACAAAAAGAACCATTATCCAAAAACAACATGCATTACTCCCACAACAGTTAGTTCCAATATTTAGATATAGATATAATATTTATAATAATAGTTCCATCATATGAATTTAACTGCTGTTGTGGGAAAATGAACATAAACTTAACTCCATAGAAAGTGAATAATTCACAGGAAGCTTTTTTGAATTGGAAAAAAAAAAGGGAAGAAATCTATAGAGATACCTGATGATATGTCTTCCAGCTCAGTGTTTCACAACCTTTTTTGAGCCATGGCAAACCATCAAACAAAAAATATCTTAAATTATATGTAATGATTATAATGATCTTCTAGGTTCATTTACTCACAATTTACTTACTCGGTGTGCCAACCTTGGAGGTAAAGCTGCAAACACCACTTAGACTTTCTCGGTGAGCCACGGCCTAACCTAATTAAAATCAAAGCAGCAGGAGGTAATACCTTAATCATAACTTATTTATAATGAATGATGGCTTAAATTTGCATGAACAGTAAGTGAAAAACAACTTCATCTGAATCCCTGTCCTGCTAGTCCCAACATTTTCCCAGAAACTTTTTCTTTACTGTTGAATACTAGTTTGTTTGTGTTGTGACAGTTGTTTTTGTACAGTTTGTACAGCATTTTGCAATATTTGTACTATGTGCTTTCAATATATAATTCCCACATCACTTAGTTAGACATTTTATTTGTGTGTATTGCTTCATGAAGCATTTTTTTTAATTGACCAGTTGTTTGTTTTGACACCTTGGGTGTTTGTTTTTTAGGCAAAGCATTTAATGCAGTAAAGTTTGAACATTGAGCAGTATATCTGAAGGGACAGAGGCGACATTCTTCAGTGATAAAAGCACTGAGTCATTTATACCCAGTAGTCCTGAGTTCAAATGTGAAAAACGTGTTTGTTATATTCAGATGTTTTAGAATCATTCCAGCTTATACCTGGGTGTTGTCTTTGGACAGATGGCAGCGACCTGGACGCTGTGAGTCACGGCAGCATGGATAGCTCTGCTGACACTAACCCGACTGAGCAGAGCCCCTACAACACTGACTCCCTCAAAGTAGACCCCACTGATGATAGATCTAGCACAGGTACACTTTTGATTTCTGCTCCTTGGAACCATCTTAAAAAGGCAGCTATTTGTTTTTTTTCAAACATACATCATTTTCCCTTCTGTCAATGACATTTTTATCCTCCTTCTCACTTGTTCTTCTTATCCATCGGCCTCTTCCTCCGTCCTTTCACTGCCTGTCTTTTTTTTTCTGCCTCCTTATTTTCTATCCCTTGTCCATCCATGTCTCTCTTGTCCATGATTTCTGGCTGTGCTTTTTGCTCTGCTTTGTCCCTAACCCTGCCCTTAACTCTGGCCCGGCCTGTGTTGCCCCTGCATGCAGTCAGCCATGGGCGTGGCAGTGCTGGTGCTGGGGCCCAGGGGTCCCACTCACACTCAGGGGGCTCTGAGCTCCGAGATGCCACCCTCCACCCAGGTAAACCTCACTTCTCTGTCTGCTCATGTGTCAGATTCTGTCTCATGTTACTCACTCAGCAGTTTTTCCTGGAGCCACTCCTCCTGTGTCTTTTTCTCTCTCTTCCTCCACCTCTACTTTTCCTCCAGTCTATCATCTGTATACATGGCACATCTGTTTGCTGCTCCTCTCGAGCTCATATTTCTGGTGTCTTTCGTATTCACACTGGATGATTTATCACCTCAGAGAGATTTGCTCTTGTCAGTTATGGGGAGTAATTACCCGCAGGCATTTTCGTTTTGATTACAGACATTATTTTAATCACACAGTTGGCACCGCTGTAGTCAACAGTGATTTCTCAGCTACATCACGGCAGGGAAGGGCCTGGACGTGCAGCTCCTTGATTAGCACAGCTCTATAATAAGTTTGGTCACATACCATCAGTTGTCAGACTCATCATATTATTATATAGCCCAGGTGCCTCAACAGCTCAAGGTTTATTTTAAGATGATGTGAGAATGAGTTTCATGGGAAAAATAAAAAAGACAACATATCTTCTACAAACTGAACACTTCTGAAGGATTTTAAATCATAAACTTTGTCTTACCTTAATACAGAACAACATTGTAAGTCTGATTTGTTTAGGATTTCTCTGTCTGGTCACCGTCTATATAAATACGTCTACAGGTATATGAAAACAGAATCTGCTGCAACATGGATGGTCTGTACTAACAGGCTGCAGATTTCAAAGGTTTTAGGAAGTTCAGATGTTATCTAGTAAAAAGTTAGAATTTTGGTCTACACTGAACAACTAGGCTTTTCCAGAGTTTGTTACATTTGGCCACAGCTGTCTCTGTGTTTGCCTCATCTCCAGCTGAACACTGACCCTGCAGCAGGTGAATTCAGTGGTGTTCCAGTGTTAGGACTGTTCTTTTGGACGTGTTCACTAGTTTACAGCTCCATTTACTGATGACATTTAAAAGAAGAGACATTAAAGTAAAGCAACAACCAAAGTGGTTGTCAGATCCAACATGTGTCAGCCAATAGGACTCTGCAAAAGTGAGTTAGACAAATGCACATACATACTCTAAATAAGGTCATAAATAAACCAAGGTGAATTATGATGCCTTTGTATTCTGTAGCCTACATTGCCTGCTGGCCTGAAAACTATTTTTAAATCTTATTTTTGAATCTTATTTTATCTGTTGCTAATGTCTTTTTGGACTTTTATTTAATACAGTTATTTTGTCTCTCTTTCTGTGTATTTGTAGGAGATCAGTCAGACTTAGGTTACAACTCCTTGTCCAAAGAAGAGGTCCGTCGTGGAGACCCCAGCGCCAGGGACAACACCACTGACAAAGATGACAAGAAGGAGAGCGACTGCAGCTCCTGTCAGTGATTACCATCAGATATCTCCTGTTTCTTTTTGAAAATGATCACTACTATGTGGCCACAGGGGATTTCTTCTTCCTCTACCTTGATCTTTCACTTTTCTTCAGAGGTTTTTCCTCTGTGTTTGTTTCCCATGCACATCAAAGATGTCTTTCTGTGGATTTCAGTACAGAGTGTAGTCTTAAACTGTGCCCGTTCTTGAACTGGGCGATTTTAAATTGTAATTCTTTGTTTGTTTGTTTTTTTCAGTGTCGGAGACAGAGAGCACCAAAGGCAGTAAAGACTGCCTCCCTCTGCTGGACATGGAAGTCCAGTCCTCCTTCAAACCACACGGCATTGTTCGCAGCAGCTTAACATTTGACGATTCATCCTGTAAACCCAAGAGCTCGGCCAGCACAGGTAGACAAGAAATCCTGAATAGTTGGTAGTACTGCCACAGGAGATCAGAGGTCTTCTGCAAGGTTCACAGAGAACTGAGTATGAAGCTGTTGTAGCCGCAGCAGCTAGCATGCAGCATATGTTTACAATTATCAGTTATGTTCGATTATTAATTGCAAACCAATAATTGCAACTCTGCTTCCACACACTTTTTTTTATATCATATCAATATTGATCATATGGCATCCTTTTCCTCCCTCCTTTTCTCAGGTCATGTTGCAGGTCTTCTCTTCACTTCCTCTCTGGATGAGATTGGTGAGGTCCACACCAACAGCTTGCTCAGGAGACACAAGAGTGCTTTGGAGGAGGTGGTGGGTGCGTCCAGCAGTGGTCCAGTTCTTGACTGGCAGGGTGTGAGAGGCCTGCATCTGAGTGGAGACACAGCTGGCAGCAGTGGGAGTGGCACCACCGTTCTGGGGCTTGGTATGAGGCAGGCTGAAACTGACCCAGAAAAAATTGCAGAACATCTGGGTGCAGATGCCAAAATTCTCTCTGGCACCAAATTATGTGGGTTCAAGAGACCTCGTTCTTTGGCATTAGGCAGGTTAGCAGAGGTTAGTGATAAGGCAGGTACCGTGAGTGATCGAAATAAGAAGGGAGAAGAAGATGGCGTGGAAGGACAGGACTCCGGTGATGAGGACAGATGTATGACAGAAGCTATTTTTGACCTGGAAGATATCGATTTGGATAAACCTGCAAGAGAGCCTGGTGTCAACGTGCATGAAACCAAAAGCTTTCACAAGAAAGTTGTTGAGCGAAGTGCAAGTTACAGCCATGCCATGAGCTCTGCTACGTCCAAAGGAGCTGTCAAGCGTACAGATATTGAGGTGGGTTACGATCCTCTGTCGCTGTTGGCTGCAGACTCACAGACACAACAGCACAATGATGAGCAGTACTCTGAGGAAGATGGGGTCAGGACACCAGGCACCTGCAGACACCTTGCCAGGGAAATTGAACTCTACATGAATTACATGGGCAGCCCTCTGACTAGCCGCACTCCCAGTCTGGACCTGCAGGAGCCATCAAGCCCCCTTCTCCTTCACCCCTCATCACATTCTGGTCCTCGCAGGGCCAGTCTTCCTCACAGCTCCACTCTTAGGACTGTTGGAGTAACTCGCTCCCGCACTTACCAGCCACCCTCTCCTTGCCCATCTGTCTCACGCCAACGCCTCTGGTCATCTCCTCCCTGCCGCAGCTCCAGCACCACTCCTTGTCCCAGTCCTCAGCTGAGCCCCTACAGAGAGAGGACACACAGGCTGAGCCTGGCTTCACCCTCACCTTCTTCCTCCTCTTTCAATCTGGACACTCTCCTCACACCAACTTTCGACGTGTTCAAGACCAGTATGGTCTCTGCTGGGAAGGGCGTTGCAGAGAAGGCAAGCCGCTGGTATTCACGCATTGCCACCTCTACCAAGGTACAAATACCATGTGAAAACTGTAGTCACATATAGTGAATGAACTAAGACATGCATGGATACCGTGTGTGATTGCTGTTGTACCATGTATCTCTAACAGTGGCAGTGACTGAAGTTTTAAAAACGCTGGTCAATGCGCCATAAAATGAAGTGCTGCTGCCCTCTTGTGGCCCAACACTGCTTTGTTGTACTATTTTACATGCGCCATCACTGACATAAAACACGTCATCTTATGAAATTGAAACCACTGTTATAACACAGTATGTTTACATACTGTGTTATAACAGTACAATTTGAAAGAAAGGTTGAAATTTTATTATTAACAAACCATTTAGTCACCTATTAACCTGACTGTCTACAATGACGATAACTAATTGCTAATTTACTTTTACTCAGGATGGTCAAAGTGACCGTCTCAGTGTGACGTCCTTCAGCACTGGAGATCCAGACTGCTCCTCGCTGCTGAATGAAGAAGACTGCGGGGAGTCAGAAAGTTCTGAGGTTTCACTGCAAACAAATGATCCCATTAGCCCTACCGGACCCTGCAAAGTCCCCAAACGCAGCCCTTTACGCAGCAGAATGGACAGTCCCAGAGCACGCTCCAGCCATGTGAGACCAACATCTCTGCCCCCTGGTATGTAAAGTACCAGTAACAAATATGTGACTTATAGTTTCCAGTTTTTACTGTGATTGCAGTGAAGACAGATTTAACTGTCATATATGTTTTCACATCTCAGTTCACTATAGTTGACTTATGTATGTTAACTCTCCATCAGGATGTGTCCTTTCTCCTCCTGGTTTCCCTCTACCGGATAAATCAGATGTTGGCTCCTCACACTACACCAGCAACACCAGCATCTTCAACAACTACGCCATGGAGGTAAGAATAAAGACGAAAGAAAACAAACTCTGGCCTGAGGCAGCTTTCACCAAAAGAAAAAAAGGAATTGATAAAACATCTTTCTATGCTGTGCTAAAGCTAATGTAATTCTTACTTTTTAAATGTCAGCATTCCTTTAAACACTGTCGGCCTGAACTCTGTGTGTTTTCTAGCTGCTGATCTCCAGTTGTTCTCGCTGTAAGACCTGTGACTCCCTGGTTTATGACGAGGAGATAATGGCTGGATGGACAGCAGATGATTCAAATCTGAATACTACCTGTCCTTTCTGTGGAAACCCATTCCTGCCTTTCCTTAACGTGGAGATCAGAGACATGCGAGGACCTGGCAGGTAGAACACTAATGAGTCTCTACAAAGTTAATCAACATCTGTTACAAAAGTGCTTGTTAAGAACTTCTCAGCACACAAGTTCTGATGGAGTATCTTTATATTTCTCTTTTGTTCTTCCTACAGACTTTTCCTGAAGGGCAGTCCATCAGTGGACGAGGCAATGACTTCATTGTACTCGGATTCAACAGGTTTGGACACAGGGACATCATCTTTGTCGACGCCCTGTCCTACAAATACACTGTCTCCCTCTTCACCCCTGATCATGGTTCAGGACTCTTTTGAAAGACAAAGGTAAAGGCTGATCTCTGACAAACAGAAACCTGAACCTGATGTCTTCAATGACAGGATACATTTTTTTCTTCATCTTTAAGGAGACGATCAACCACAACTCAAGGTATTACCATCCCTGCAGAGCATCGGCAGAGGCTGCTGTCTCCTGGAGCACAGATGGCCCGCAGTGTTAGTGCCTTTGGTCCTCTGCAGGAAACGTCTCGACCCAGCTGTGGTGTTCCAACGTCAGGGAGCCTGCCCAGCCGTCTCAATGTAACCACTGTATGTGTCAACTGGACTGAAAATTCACTGATGCCTCATTAGTTACCTAGATACAAACATTTGATGATGACTGATAACCTTGACAGACATTTTTCACTTTGCTACTTGAATGTAACATACTTCTCTTTGGCCCCCTCAGGACCCACTGAGTATGGAGTGGCGTCTCCATAACCCTGAGCCTGTGACTGTGCCCTACCTGAGCCCACTGGTCCTGTGGAAGGAGCTGGAGAGTCTGCTGGAGAACGAGGGTGATGCTGTGATCACAGAGGCCGACGTGGTGGACCATCACCCCATCATCTACTGGAACCTGGTCTGGTACTTCAGACGACTGGACCTGCCCAGCAACCTGCCTGGACTTATCCTCACCTCAGATCATTGCAACAGAAACTCACAGGTCAGACAGACACTAATCCAAGACAGATGCTACTCATAACTTTTCAAGTCAGCTTGTTATATGAGACAAGGCTAACCTCAGTTACATTCTCATCTGGACTGTAAAAACGACCTAATGTCTTTCTTTCTAATCTCTAATCTCTCCAAGCAAAAAAACCCTCTGTCTCTCTGTCTTTGACAGATTCCTCGTCACTGGATGTCAGAGGACAGCAAGCATGTGCTGGTTCAGATTTTATGGGACAACCTAAAACTGCACCAGGACCCAGTCCAGCCTTTCTACATCCTGTGGAACACATACAGTAAGTCAAAAAAACAGCTTGAGTCCGTTGTGTCTTAAATACTGGCGACTAAACACCAGAGGAGCGAAAATATTATTAAATCATTTTTAACATATAAGTCATCTTGAAACAAACAGAAGGAACTCTTCTTGGGTTGTTGCTGTTATATAATATAATTATTTACTGTGAATTTATTTGATGTTAGAAAGTGGACATAACAGTAGAAAATGTTGTACTGTGAGTATTTAATTTAAAAAGCTCCATCCATCAAATAGTGAAGCAACAGATTATGTAAATATGCTTGACTTGTACTATTATCCAGCCCTGGTATTGTGTTTTTGGAACAATTCGCAGAATTACCATGGCAAATTCATATCTACAAATTCAAATGTTTCGAGGGCTTATTGTCCTGGTGCCTGCCTGACTGTGTGGTGAGGTGCTGTAGTACTGCAGTAGTGTAGTAGTAGAGTAGAGTAACTGCAGCAGCAGCTCCTCGTAGGAGCCTCTTATCCTTGTGCTAACAGGCTGTGTCTGCTCTCTGTTTTCCAGGGCTTAATTGTTCTCTATTGTTAGAAAGTGAGTGTTCATCTCTGCTACAGATGAGTCTGTTGTCTGTCCCGTCTCAGGTCTCTGATGTCTCTGTGTTTTTTTAAATGTCAGTTTGTTGCGGTGTTGTCTATTGAAGTTGTCGCAGTGAAAAATGTTTTTTTTTTGTTGTTGTGTAAAATCTCACCACGATGTCAGCAGGAGTGTTTTTTGTCTTTTAAAACGCTGTTGTAGTACTACTTGTTTTAACTCAAATACAGTCCTGCTCTGTATTTGAATAATTCCACATGGTGTTTTAATGTGGAATAATAAAACCTAAATATCCACAGTAACATCACACTGGGGCTGCTAAAGTTTGAGGAAGGAAAATGATGAAAGTCATGTGTAAACAGGAAGTCATCTAACATCAACAGCTGTTAGAAAACAAGTGTTTACTCCTCATTTTATATACAATGACACACACGAGGAACTAAAGTCCTAGAAAAACAACGTCAAGAAGCATGAACTGCTAAAAAACTGATACAGTAAAAGAAACCTCACTCAGGTTCCAGCGACACCACAGACGTTGTCTCAGCAGGGTTTGTTTTCTGACAGATGTAGGTTACCCTCTGTCACGGCCGGTCAAGGAGGCAGAGAGGTCCTTCAGTGAAGAGTTACTGCAGAGTGTGGTGAGGAGCATTCAGAGGAACGACGTCAGTCGACCGATGGCTCAGATGCTGCAGCTGCTGGGACGGACGCTGGGGGTCAAGAGGCAGAGGTCTGTAGAACCAAGTCCTATACAACTATGTTATCTTTAGCGTGTCATACTGCAAAGTACAGGACATGGGTAGAGAGCCTGAAGATTTTCACCATCCATCTATCATTGTTTTTTACTTCTGTTCCCTTCAGGAGTTTGTACAGAGATATCCTCTTCCTCTCACTTGTGGCTCTTGGAAAAGACAACATTGATATTGGCAAGTTACATTTCTTCATCTAAAGACCGTCTCTCTGTAAAATAGAAAATGAATACAGTAAAGCTACATTACTGAAAACCACATTTCTGTCTATACAACAGTACATTGGAAATGTTCTCAATTCAGCTTAAAACGTTTTCCAGATTGTGAGATAAAGACAGATGAACATGAGGAGAAAACATCAAGATCATATATCCATCAACCATAAACAAAATACTTTACTGGAATCTTGTCATTATCTCAGCATTGTGCCCATTGTGCTGGGTATTGATAAGAATCTCATGATTCGGTTTGATTTTAAATGTTTAGGTCGCAACTCGATTCATTATCAAGTATAAATACAGAAATAATTAATTTAAGTACTTTATCATTTTTTTAAATAATTATTTATTCAGCTTATTGCCCATATAAACAGCCATAGTAGAAGTCATAGCATTTTGAGCCTTAAAATGTAAAAAAATAAAACACTTGAACAATAACACTAGTTACAGCGCCCCCATTGGCCAGGGGTGTTGTGATGGAAGCAACTGTATCATTTGCTGGTATTTATAACTTGTATAACACTGGGAGGACTGGGTCAGAATGTAATCAGCATCAGAATAATGTATAATAATCATCATTCGTGATAATCAACTGAGGACTAGCTAAATAAACACACCTAAGTCAACTAACATCTAAAAACCTATTATATTTTTACCAAGCTTCACTCCGTCATGGTTCGGGGCTGAACTTTAGCCAGTGGTCCTGAGGCTCCTACAGTGATGGCTACAAAAACAATAGCTACATTTTTAATGGTTTCTCTGTCAGATCTTTCTCTTGTCTGTTGTAAAGACAAACTGCTACTGGGGAATTTTCTTACTTCAGGTTTACGGTACGGTAATGAGGGTAATGATTACAGTAATGTCACTAACTGCTCCTCAGACGCCTTTGATCGTGAGTACAAGTTGGCGTACGACCGCCTCACACCCGCCCTGGTGAAGCTGACACACAACTGTGACCGTCCTCCCAGCACAGGGGTGATGGAGTGTCGCAGGGCGTTTGGAGAGCCTTACTTGTGAACACTCACCTCCACACACACACACACACTCACTAACTTCATTAGTGCTTTAAAGATCAGCTCAGGAATCCTGCTAGATGACTGTGAATGTGCAGTGAAGGCTACAGTGGATGGTTGTTAGCCTTATGTAGCTCATAGACAAAGGTTTTACAGACAAACGCACACACACACACACACACACACACACTCTTCATTAGCATTATTTCATTCAGACTAACACTCACCTGGTCTCTTTACAAATCTGGGGAAATCAGAACAAAATCAACAGCAGAGATGTTCTTACATGCAGCTTTTACAGTGTAGACTCATCAAATATATGAAAAGAGTTTTCAGTATTTTAATTTGATGTCTATTTATGTAGAGGAGGATTTATTTATTCCTGTCTTGTTTTTGTTAAGTGTTTTTTGTTTGTTATTGTTTTTTCTTTTTTGCTGTGTCCAGTTGTCAGTAAACATCTCTCTTGAATACTCACCGTCACCTCCTCAACGTGTGGAGAACATGGTGCAGTACACAGTAAATATCGGTGGCTGAGTACACAGTAGGTTTCAGTGAATTATGATATGAGGCATACAAAAAATGTTTTTACTTCACATTTCTTTCATCCATAAAGTTTCAATGATCAGTAATATTCCTTTTAACTGGCAGCTTCAACAGGTGTGTCCTACATACTTTATAAAGGCAGCCATGTTTGGAAAAATTGTTGTGACCCAATTGACAGTAGAAATTCTGACTGTGCTGCATTATCAACAATGGTCAGTTTGACGTTAACAAAGGAATCATACGTGTATTTTAGTTGTCCGGCGACAATAACAGAGCAGTATTTGTGTGAATGTTGTTTTCATTAGTCTCTCTTTTTTTTCTTATAACCGAACAAATGCATTTGTTTTACAGTAAAGGCTAAAAAGCAAACCTGTGGTTGCTGTCGGGTCAGACGACAAACGGAACAAATACTTTTTATCACAATTAATGTAAAAGTTGTGTCACCAATTTTGAGGGAAGTGATGCTCTGCTGCGTGACTAAAAGGTTAAAAAAATTAAAAAAACAACAACATGGGACACCCAGAGAACAAAGTCTGGAGAATACAAGATAGTGAACTTTAGCATCCTGGTGTTTGGAGAAAACTCTAGTTTGATCATGTTTTAATTGGACTGTTATGACTGTTTTTATATCTTTGGTCTATTTTCTGATACGGTCATTCATAGTTATGTATCAAGGTCAAGGTCAGCTTTATTGTCAATACCTTCACATGTACAGAACATACAGAGGTATCCAAATTACGTTCCTCGCCTTCCCGTGCGCTGACAGACATAGACAATACTGAACGAAAAACATTAAGGTGCAATAACAATAAACGTATAAACGATCGAAATGTAATTCTTCATTTCAACCTGACAAATGAACTGATAAACACACGATTGTTATTGCACAGTGTAAAAGGGATATTGAAGGCGGAGCCAGATGAACACACGGAGAGTTTAAATGTTTTCATGTGTAAACATGGATGAATATTTGTAAAAGTATTTGGAAATGACACACATTTCTATTTTCATTTTTGCAATTTTCAAGATCGAATTAAGTTTTTATTACTTTGAATTTCATGTAAATTATGTAATTTTATGTTTAATGAGTTCTTGTACTCTGAAGACTGAGGGATTCTGGGCAGCGCTGAACAGATTATTGTCTATTTTTACGTACGTGTTAGTTGAACATGACGGTGAAGGAGGACAGCGGTTGAAGGAGGACCTTCAGAGTTCAAGACTCATGAGGATCTAATGAAAGCTAACCTGCTGTGACATTTATGACAAAGGAACTGAATACTGGAAAAGTCAGGGAACGAGGAATGGAAACCCTGAGCTTTCATCACCAGGAGAAGATGCATCAACTGCAAAGTTAGCAGCGTGCTAAGCTGCCGTTCACCTGTGGAATATTGTTGTGCTGCAAATGTTAAAATAGATCATTTTGCAAAATCTGGGCCATGTAAAATTGGACTCTGCCCTTTGTAGACATTTTATAACAGTTCCTTCACTCATGCCAGATGTTTTGAAGGTTGTGTACAGAGACCAGACATATAGGACTGTTAACCTGTAAATAAAACCATACACTAACTTTAGAAGTCTGTGTTTTTGTCCTCACCCTTTTTTTTATTAGCGAGTCAACATTGGTGAGGCCTGAACTACAGACAGTGTCAGCCCTGGTTTCATATACTGGATATCTGGTTGTCCAATCATGTAGTAAGAACAGATGTATTGTGACAAAGAAGAAACATACTTTTTTTCCAGGGCGAACCTCCTGTTTTGTGTCTTGACAGGAGAGTTGAACAAAGTTAGAAAGGTTTCCCATTGGCCTTCCACTGTTTTTAGTAGACCAACACTCAATATCACTGTTAGAAAAATAATTTATTGCAGTTTGAATCCTAGTGTTAAAATGAACAGTCCTACCAACGATCACCACTAACACCACGTCTGCAGCCTCAGTCCGACATGAGACAGTGTGACACAAGAGCCTGATACAAACACAGTACAATCACAGATTCTCTCCAAAAAACAGACACGATGTCTACACTCTGACACAGTACACATCAACACGTAGTAGTGAGTATTAGTAGGTAGGAAAAGTTAAAAATGAGAGGTTTAAGGATTTTGGTCCAGAAATTAAGGAACATAAAAAAACCTTGTGCATCCACTGGTGTTGAAATGATGCACAGAAAAATGTACAAAATCACTACTAAAAAACACATTTAAATTAGAGTTAAAAAAAATGCATATTTAAAAAATACCAGAAATCTGTAGCCTTCCTGTGGATGAAAATGTTGTAACAAACAAACAAATAAAAAACAGTCCAGTTCAGTCACAGATTACAGTGAGGGGATAAGTTGGGAAATGTTTTTTATCCTCAACTTGGCCCTAATACACCAGTGTAGGTTTGAACAACCTACCTGCCAGTTAAAACAAAGCAAACAACAAACAAACAAACAAAAAAATAATAATTTAAAGATTATAATCATTAACAGAGTTCATCTCTATTGAGATGTTAAAACAGGAAGAGGAATATTTTTTTGTTCTCAAGTACAGGTCTAATTTCACACGCAGTACACACAGACAACCTGCCTCTGACTAGTACTATACAAATATCTGAAATATACTGTACTCGGAGTAAGTTTGGACATGTCATCAGACCACAGCTGCTGTCCCAGACACATGATTGGATATGAAGTGATGTTGAACGTGGATTCCTCCTTTCATGGAACCTCTCCGTCTCAGGTTGATATTGGACAGATGAGGATACGGTTCTCCAACATGACCGCAAGGACAAGGAACACAAAGTACATGCCAAACATGGTGAGACCCAATGTTCGGCTCATTTTCCAGCGACACATGGCGATGGAGAAAATGACAAAGAGGAGCATGAGGAAGAGCAGCACGATGGCACAGAAGAGGCCGTTGGAGCTGACCGTCACAGGGTGACCGCCGTTGAAGAGGGAGTAGAAAAGCCACGGCATCGGCAGACTGAAATCACAAAGAAGTGTTGACACAGTGAGACTGTCCAACAGTCCAGTCCAGATCACTGTGTGTAAATGCTGACACGACAGTACATGTATATATAGGAAATGTAGTGACTCACCCTACAGTGATGTCAAAGATATTACTGCCCACGGAGCTGGACACAGCCATATCTCCCAGACCCTTTCGAGCCACGATGACACTGGTGATCAGGTCAGGGATGGAGGTGCCCGCTGCCAGGATGGTCAGACCCATGATCTCCTCTGAGATGCCCATGGTCTCTCCAACCTGTCCACAAAAAGAAGAGACAAGAGTCTCACAGGTTCTTCTTCTTTGCCCGTGTCTCACTGTCTTCCCCTGTAAATCCTCCCTGGATTTACCACAGTAACAGTCGCCCACTGGTTCTACTGGGTTTTTCATTTACTGATTCCATTTAACTGAGTATTTAATCTCATTATATTTATATATCCATCCATGTGTCCAAATCCTTACATCCTGTCAATTGTCTCCTACAGACCTGGTCCTTCCTCTTCACTCTGGGCTCACAGTTCTTCATGTGACATTATATCATTTGAACATTATTTCAGACAATTCTTTTTCTGAGTGGCACTTTGGCCCAGAGGCAACGTCTCTGTCATTGGTGTGAAACCCCAGGGTTCACCTCGTGGGCAGGATCGAATCCCGGTTAGGGAGGTTGGTACCTTCCGGTGGACTCACCACCTGCAGGAAGGTTCAGGGGGGTTGGTACGGTGCAGTGTGATTTGGGTGGCGGTCATGGAGACCGCTGCCCCCACAAGTTCTTTTTCTGGACAAGGAGAAAGTGCTGGAGAGACTTGACCAGCCCAGGCACCAGGTGTGGGGAGTGAGACTAACGAACAGGACACAGGTGAGGGAGATCACTCCAATTCCCAGAGACAGACAGTTTGACAGGAATGACCGGTGGACTGAGTCAGACCACATGTCATGCAGGTATTTGATGCAAGTTTTCTGTTGTTTTATGTTGTATATGTTGATAGGTCTCCTTAAAAATTATACTTTATCTCAAAGGGCTTTCAGGCAGTAAAATAGTAAAATACACGATTTAGAATATGTGGAGACGTACCCGTTCACGTTACGTCTAGTACGTTAGTTATTTCTAACATGAGGTGCTCGGTTGTAACACCAACCTGATGAGCCCACCACACCATCAGGTAGGAGAAGAAGCCGATCCACAGGATGGAGCCAACAAACGTCATGGCAAAGTATCTCCTTGATGCCTGGGAAAGGGAAAGACATCTTGAAAGATGTGATCCACGCAAAGGTCGTAATAAATAGTTAAAGCTGTAGTACCGTTAACTAGAGTACCGTTAACTAGAAGTTAAGGTCAGCTACTGAACCCTGGCCCACAGAGTTGACTGTGATGTAACACTGATGTTTTGAATGTTTTGTCTTGAATTCCCTCAACTACACAATGATCTGTTCTTGGTTTTGAATTAAACGGCTAATCAAATTCTTTCTTTTTTTATCGGAACAGCTCTCGGGAAAAGGCCAACACAAAGCTACCCATAATCCCGTGGTGCTGCCTCCACACCTTTCTCTGACACTGAAGACTCGATGTCCACACGTTGGGCTGTACTCACCAGGTTGCGAACGTCGGGCACAGTGAGCCATAGTGGGAGTACGATGGGCAACAGTAACAGGTAGGTGATCTGCCTACGTGGGGTTTCAGGCCACTTTAACGACAACGGCTCATTGTGCTCTTCCTCCTCCTCTTCCTCCTCCTCCTCGACTTCCTTCACCAGTGATTCTTTTTTTCCATCTTTATCATCATCATCAGAGCTGTCCTCACTCTCAGAATAGTCACTGCTGTGTTTGTCGTTGGCGCTGCTGTTTGAGCGATCTGAACTGCCTGCTGCTGCCCCCTACAGGTGAGACAGCAGGGGCTGTTAGCAAGCAAATAAATGGAAAAATGTTTGTCTTCAATCAGAAAACAGTGTTTACCTCTGATCTATTTTCTGTATGTGGAGGATGAGAGGTGCATGGCTCAGCAGTATCGCCCCCTGGTGGACTAGCAGCATCAGCAGAGCCCTGCTCAGACTTTTGCTTTTGATCATCATCTGAATAAAAAAGGAAAATGGATAAAGTCTGGGACAAAAATGAAACTTGTTTCTACTTTTGTTATAATTCACGTTTAATGTCTCGATGTTCATCTCCATCTCCGTGACAGATGTCATGGCCACAACTGGAAAACCAGACCAGCAGGAAATGTCACATTCAAGTTCAGGAAAAAAATCTTTAATGAGTGAAATATAAAGCAGCCATTATAGGAATATACGACAAAATTGTAAAATCGTATTTAAAGGCGTTTTGATTTTTTTCCTCTGACTCCCGTGTAGGAACATAGTGAGATAGTGACTGATGTTGATTGACAACATGCCGAGTGTTTTCTTTTCAGACTGACCTTTACTGTAGTGATGCTGTGACTCTAGTCTGTCGGCGAAGTTCAGAGGCTTTACTTTGTTTTTGGCTGCAGTTAAGAAGAAGGACGGCCGTTCACTTTACAGTCCCCACATGTAGGGTTTCAAAAGACTCGACATGACTTTGACCAGAGCACACACTGACACGCAGCACTCAGCAGTGAATCCACTTGGATTTATGTGACTGTTCATTTTTGTCCACAACTATTCATGAGATGTTGTTCTGGGACAACATATGAAGTACATGCTAAATCATTTTGAAAAAACGAGAAAACATTTAAAAATATTTTTTCTATTGTAATTTTTTACATAAAAAATGGGAAAAACTATTGCAATTTTTTTTCTTATCCTTTAAATTAATGACGACAAAACAAAACAAATGATGTTTAGCCAACGTCTTTTAGAAGCCAGTGTGTGACCGATCAGCCAGGTCCTCTAAAGTAAACAAATAACTGCATGCCGATTCACACTCACACGTAAACAACCATGCAGAACAATAGGCACTGGTAGATGTATAACGACCGAGGCAGAAACTGCAGTAACACATACTCAGGTTGTAAATACTCAACACCACACAACCGGTATAACACATGGACGTCTCACCTGTCTTCTTCCCTGACCCCTGCCCTCTGACCTCACCATTTAGGGGCCTTTCTGAATAAAATACACAACAGTTATGTGACACTTCAAGTAAATGCAGCTGTTTTATTTTTCTAATCAATCATTCTTTGTCTGACATTGTGCTAATTATTATTATTATTATTATGGTCATTTGTATTTTTGAAGAAAAATGACTCTCTTACATTGAAAACAGCATTCACATATACAGTACTGTCAGTACTGTAGTAGTATTTGTTATCTAGCAGGTGATCTCCATCTATTTGAGGGGTTTTACACAAACATCCTTGATCAGTAATACTAAGGCCTTCGACTAAATACTATTTCTACTTAGTTTCAGTATTTTGAGTCACTGTTAAATCTCTAGCTCTTTAATGTGAAGTGTCTGCTTCTCTCTGGTGTACTGACAGACCTGTCTGTAAATAAAAAGTTTGTTGCCTTTTCTTACCTCCTCTTGCTTCACTCGGGCCGGGAATTTTAAAAGTCAGTCCATAAACTTTGTCTAGAATTAGAGCCAGCAGTAATGCATTTCAATTTGGTGTCAGTGAAATTTGAACAGGCTGCAATTCATTTCTTTTATCCATATGTTAAACATTGAGGTGGCTTCTGGGCTGCTGACTGAGACAGGACTGAGTGACAGCAGAGACAGCAGCAGTCCAGCTGCAGCCTCTTCATCCTTCACTACTCTACATCGCTGGGGATAAAGAGCTCGGTCTGTTACCACCCTGGCTCTTATCCACACTTTATTAGCCTGGTTTTGAAAAAGCTGATTAAGGATCAGCTGTGGACGGGTGCTGTGAGAACAGTGGATCAGAGGACAAGCTGAAGGTCACTGCTCATCCCACTGCTCTCTGATTACCAACAGGCAGCAGCAGCAGAACCTTCGCGATGTCTTTTTTACTACAGCATTAAGCTGCAGCATGTCTGTATGTACATGTACCTTTGAAGTAACTGTTAGGTTAGTTAACAACTTCACATGAACTCTAATTCTTCCTTTTGTTTCACCTCTTTGTCCTTTCTATCTTCTCCAAATTAAATGTTCCTCTTTGTATAAAATATGAATTTACAAAAAATGCCCACTATGACGCGTCCTGTACCAGAGGAGAATACATTAACGTAATATGCTATTTAAAACCACATTTATCAGACATGGACCTAGCTGTGTCTCCAGAGACGTTCTCTCAGCTGTGGTCTTTACCTTCTCCCAGAGGATCGAGTGTGTGGATCATCAGCTGGAAGATGGTGTTCCTCAGTGCTGTGTTGTGGAGAGAGGCTGAGCTGCTGCCTCTCTGCAGGACTGAATGGACTGGCTGATGCACAACGAACAACAACACGTGTCAGGGTGAGAGGACCTTCACTGTCAGATTAGAAACTGTGACATTAAGAGTTTTTACAAAAGAAGTTATGATTTTCAGTAAGGATGCTGCTCTGTCAGAGTTCAGAGTTCTGTGGGTGATTTATTCTGACTTTATTTAGGTTGTTTTTTTAGCCAATAAAACTGAATTTAGAATTTAGTAGGAAATGAATCAATTCTGTTGAGTTTATAACAAGAATAACAGTGAACAGTGAATTTCCAAACCTTAGGTTTGATCCTGTTGTCTCGTTCGTCTGATGGATGTTTGCTGTGCTCAGGGCTGCACGCCGGGGGTTCTGGTTTGGAATTTTCTGCAGCATTTGGTGCTCCAGATGAAGCAGCAGCAGCAGAAGGAGGAGGAGCAGCCGGAGGCGGCAGTGGAGGAGCATCGCTCTCCTGTGAAGTAAGTAGTAAATTTAGCAGCAGTAATTCAGGGGACGTGTGTGTGTGTGTGTGTGTGATGTAAAGGTTAATGAATGTTGATGAGGTTTGGGATGGGTTTTTTTGTCTTTTTTTAATAGTTGTTCAGACACAGAATTGTTCACTTACAAAAGGTCACACATGTAACTTAAAGAACTAAAGAATTTGTTTATAGCTTCTTAATCGATTCAAAATATCCTTGCAAGTGCAAAGCAACCCCAACCAGTTCCTAAAAATCATATTTCTACTGAAGAAAGCAGAAAAAGCCTGGTGTGAGTAAAACAAAAAACAAACAAACAAAAAAAAAAAAACAACCTATAAAACGTGGATCAACATGGGCTTCATGGTGGTAGTTATTCGGCCGTTGCTATGAACCGTAGTAGTTGCTACAGACAAACGACACAACATGAATGTTGGATCAGAAGCCGGTGCAGTCAAGAGACAAACAGCTCCTGAATGCATCTCCAATAAAGGAGAAGAGGAGGAAGAGGAGCGTACTCATCGGGATAAGTGTTTGATGATGGTGGAAAAAACCCCGAAAGAAATATAATATTTTTATAATCAGCCTCATTTGAATTTCCGTCACCCTGAGCCTCTCGTGTGGCAGCGGCACTCGTCTCCACTCCCAGTGATGACTAAAGGAGCTGCAGATGTGCTGGAGGATGATTGCAGAGTCTGTTGTTGGTACTTGAAACACAACTGGAACACAGTGGTGCATGTTAATGACTCCTGACCTGCTCAGCTACTAAACTGCCCTTTTTTTCAGTGTTTTTTACAAAATGAAATGAAATCCACATTCAGTGATTTTTCAAAGCTGTGACGCAGGAAAACCAGGGGAACGTCAGTCCGACACCTGGACTCCATATTGTTAGGACATCAAACGCTCTTTGCACAAATACACATGGTCACCTGTTGAGACCCACACTCCACCTCTGCATCAGTGGGTCAGAGCGGCCAATAGTCCCAACTGTGAGGAGATGAAAGGACGATGGACCAGGTGGAAGACGCCGACAGGACACACACGTCTGTTCTCTCTGTGGCCCATTGTCTGGAATATTAGCTTATTTTGGCTGTTTGTGAAAACAAAGTCTGTTTGACTTCATTTAAGCCCTGTTTGGTTTGTACTGTTTCCTGTGCAAAATATTACGTTTGGACCATTTTTATCCGGTGAAGATGTTCTGCTGTTCATCAAATCCAAAACCAAGTATTCTTACGGATGTTTCATCTTTACAGTGATGCGTTTATGGTTGTTCTCAGATGTTTAAAAATGTCCCTGACTGGATGGGCATTAGAGATTAAATAAAGGTTTTCCATGGGGCTAAAATGTTGCCATTGATTGACAATTGATCCATAGACCTAAAATAAATACATTAAATGTGATATTTCTGGAAATAGTTTTGAGTAATACAGTTTTTTAACGTGTGTGTGTGTGTGGTTATATATGTATATATATGTACTGTATATATATATATATATATATGGCATACCAACTGACCTTCTCTGGCTCCTCGATGCTCCACACTTTGATGACACTCATATGCTTGTTGATCTGGGTCTTGACCATCTTCTCAATCTGCCTGTTGAACTTCATGAAACTGACGTAGCTGAAGTAGCCCATCACCAGCAACAGGCTCTCCCACCACAGCATTGTGTTATCCAGGAAGAAGACTATGAGCATGAACAAATCCAGGATGTAGAAGGTCACGTCCCGGAACAGGGGCCACCAGGTCAGGTGCAGAATCTCCCGGGAGAAAATGGCACACATGCCAATCACAAAAAGGATGTTGAAGACGGCCGAACCCACTATGGTGCCAATGCCCACATTACTGTGGGCAATGAAGACACCGATTAGGGAGGTGAAGAGCTCAGGAGCAGAACCTCCAGCTGCCATGAAGGTGGCCCCAGCTACGTCATCGGAAATGTCCAATTTGACAATGATGACCTCCAAGGCAGGAACAAAGAACTCATCGCAAACGATAGCTAATGCCACAAACATGTAGGCCATGCCCGTGATGTGCAGGGCGACCCAGCCTTGTTGACGGTCTGCTACAGAGAAGAAGTCATGTGGGTACTCACCTTTCCTTTCAGGAGGCTGCTGTGGGCGTAGAGTCGGAGCTAAGGCTGCTGTTGGAGGAGGTTTGAACGGCTGAGGTTCTAAGTAGATGCACTGTTTGAGACCAGTCCTGTTGACTTTGAGGGCCAGACCAGGGTTGCTACCCTCAGGTAGAACCACATGCCCCTGAGTCTTGTTAAGTTCTATCACCTCACGCACCTTCACCTTCATGACATCATCGGCGTTTGCAGTCTTTGAGGAGGCTCCAGGCGTTGGCACTCTGGCTTTCAGAGTCAGAGAGTAGATGGAACAGATGAGCACACCTGAGAGGAAGAAGAGGACACGGCTGTGCCTGAGTCTCCTCAGAGGAGGAGGAGCAGGAGGAGGCCAGTGCACTTTCACTGCCCTCATGGTCCCAAATCCAAACAGCAACCTAGGTCAGATACATGGCTGTTCCATCATATGCACGGGAGGCGAAGACACTGACGACATAGATTTGATGGATCCATTCAGGTGTCGCGTCTCATCTCTTATCTCTGGCAGCAGCAGCTTCCAGCTCTGGGAGCAGAAAACACAAATGTAAAGAAATAGTTTTAAAATGTATCACATGGAATTGTTTTTTTTGTTTGTTTGTTTTTTTTCCGAGAATAGGGTTGTCAAATTCAAATTTTAATCAGATTACCATAAATACCATATCTAACACGAGACAAACGACCAGTTCTGGACGTGGAGCTCTTAACGTGGTCAGCTGAGCCTGGGAATAAATGAAGACTCTTAATTTAAGGGGTTTTGTCGGAGTGGACAGTAATTTACTTCAGAGTTCTCCTCTGCTCGTCCATCTAACCTTTGGGACAGTACAACAAAGAGCATGCCGTGTGTGTTGGTGTGTTTGAGGTTTGCAGTTTTCAAATCTACTGTGGTGTGGGGTTCAGCCACCTGTTACTATGGAGACACAATCAGACAGACTTTGGCTCCCGAAAATAAATGTAGAGTTAAGTGAAGACATTTACTACAGCACTGTAATTTATTTAAAATGGAGATTTGGGTTCAATTGAAGAACACGGTTAAAACGGCTGGTTTAACTGATCTGCAGCGATAACGAATCAACATCGACGAACAAACGGTAACTCGGTGATTGGATGTGTCGCACACAGGACTCAATACGAAGACGATGTTTGGATCATTACGGCACGATACGGCGGAATAATCATTCAGAGACGCGTTTCCTTAACAATAAAATACTATGATTAAAAAAAAGAAAACACTGTATTTAAAGTAAGTGTGCAGTGAGGCACAGACTGCGGACTCTTACCTGCGCCGCTGCTCAGTCTCTCCTCCAGCTGTGCGTCATTGACGCAGAGATGCTGACTCCCGAGTTTGGGGAGCTACAAGTGCGCACCGCAACCAGGCTCAGCGTAATGCTGCTAAGAGGATTTGCAGCCAAACACTCCTCACCTTCTCTTTCAAACCTAAACTGTACACTCGTGAGCTCCCATTCAAAGATCCCACTGTGGGTGAAAAAAAAAGAAAAAGAAAAAAGAAGAGAACTTGGAGGCAGCTCCAAAAGCGCAAATCCACGAGATAACCACCGGTCAACTGTGTGTTTTAAAACAATGAAAACTGCGTGGCGTCACCTGTAACCGGTGTATGACAGGAACACCAGCCACAATAATATTCGTTTAATAAAATAAAATATATATTTTAATGTAAATTGTGGTTTAGACTGCGGTACCCCCCCCCCCCCCCCCCCCCCCCCCCTCACGCACGCACCTCTTCACTTGCTGCGTCGGACTGTTCGAGGTCAGTGTCCCTCCTGTTGGTCCACTGCTCCTCTTTTTTTACAGTGTCTCACAGGCTAGACACAGTTGCACAGTGCTGCCACCAACCTGTGGGAGGTGGCCATGGTCCCTGCTCAGTTTAACAGGTCTCAGCAGTGCAGTTGCACTACAAAGGATCAAAGACACCGTTGTTGGTGGTTGTCTTCTTCCTCTGTGTTCTACATGAAGGAGGACACTGACACTGTCTTTCCTTTTGTCTTTTTAGATAAATATTATTTTAGAGTTCTGTTTTTTTACAGCAGTATTAGCATCAATGCTAAAAGAGGTAGCAACATTTTCTACATTTACTGATCAATTTAGATACATACACCACATAGTGTCATTAAACATGTATACATACAGGGCAGATTTGATCAATCTTGTAAATGTTGACTATTTCCAACAGTTAGGGTTAGACAGAGGTAGTTGTTTTATGGAGGCAGGAGTTTTCCATCTGCCCCAGGATTTGATTTTTTAATCTTTTATTATAAATAATAACAAAATCTAATATATTAGATTAACTTTTTTTCATCGTCACAATAACAACAAGAAACCCAAGAAAAACAACTTAAAGTTAAGGAAAGAACTTTATTATTTGGTCCATCAGTGTAACTGGTGAATGATGTGTCCACAGAGGTCCAGTGATAAACAGGGAACAACTTCTTTAATCAAGGCTCAGTGTAATAAAGAAAACACAAATCCATGTAACGCAGCTAATTTGTCGCTGGTGTCACAGTGTTAATAACACACCACATATTGTTCTGTGCCAGCACTCCACCGCAGACGTATGAAGTGATTTAATGATTCAAGCCTGTGTGGAGGGTCCTAATCATTAGAACAGCAAACACAGCTTTCCTACAAACACTGTTCTTAGTGAACGTATGAATTAAATAAGCCATAACTTAGTGGATGTAGTCTGACACAAAGGAGTGATTTCAAACAGAAATATATGAACATTTCAGGACAATCAAGATTTAATTTAGTTAAATCTGTTTTCTGTGTACATATCCCTTGTACCTCTTCTTGTGGTTCTTGGTTTTTCTTTCAGTGGGCAAATGAATAGTTAAATATGACTAGAAATACACAGATGACTTCACTACCAGCCTCAGTACAGGGGGGTGGGGGGTGGGGGGCAGGGGGGTCAGGGTTGTTGTTGACTTAAAGCCTCTTTAGCGTATTTTTCACTTAACTCAAAACCCCAGTGAGTCAATATGGAAAAAAATGTGCCAAAGCACCCCTTTACTCCAAGTTGAAATATGAAGAACTTCATTTATTCTGAAATCAAAAGACAGCACATCTGAGGAAAAACTATTATTGGTATTTTTATAAACTGTGTTTGAACACATTTTACATATATCAATACAATATTTTTTTAAATTTTAATTCAGATTAAGAAAACAATTGCACTGGTGTTGGTATTGAATTATGGACCACACGGACACCAGTGTCTGACAGAGTCTACACAGAAACAGGGTCTGGCTGCAGCTCTGCCACTGAACACCTGCTCACTGTGCGCTCTGTTCTTCACCTACAGTTGTTTGACATCGCAGCTTGCAACAGAACAGGTTGACATTTGTTGCTTGTGGTGTCAGTAGCATCAGAAGAGGTTGTCACACTAACAATGCTCCACAGTGTTGTGTTCAGGGCACAGAGAACAGCTATATGTGTGTGTGTGTGTATTAGTTTAAAACATTATTGTTTCTCATAAAAAAGGAGGTTGAAAAAGTTAACTTATGGCAAGACAGGACAACAAATAAGGATGAATGTTTTTGGAAAGAAAATACCAACTTTAGCTTCACGGTAAAATCCTTTTCTAATCCTTTCCTCTATTAAATCTCAACGTCCATGCTGAATCCTTTGGATTTCATAAAAAATAATAATGTTTGTTGACAAGAAAAGTTCTGAAAAAATATTTTAGCAGTAGAATTGTCGCAATCTGACCCAGAAACCATCAGCACTGTATCTGCTGGAGAGTAGTTGATTCATATTAACGAGTCCAATAATAAAGTCTTATCAAAGTGAAGTCTCTTCACTAATTAAACCAAGAAAAAAAAAACAAGAATTCAATCAGTTAACTTCAATAAACAATTTCCCAATTTGATGCTGTTTTCTTTTAGTCGGTCAACACCCCACCCCACGCAAAAATAACAAACAAACAAACAAACAAACAAAAACCGTAAATCACACATGTAAATGAACTTTTTTTTTTCTTGAATGGAAAAGTGAGACTGAGGATGATACCAGATCAACTCAAACCAGTCCTATGCAGGCATAGGATAGGAAAAGTCACAAAAAAAAAGAAGAGAAGAAAAAAAGAAACTGCTTTATCTTCAAACAGACTGAAGTTCAGTGAGTTTGCAAAGTAATCTTGCTGGACGGCTAGTGGACTTTCCTTTTCCTGGAGCGGAATCGTCGTTTTCTCTGCTTGTACAGATGTTGGAAATTGAAGAAAAGTCCTAAAGTTGAAGAGAAAAAACCTGAGTCATGATTTAGTTTGACCAACAACAGTTTCACTCTGCAGAAGCCAGGGATAAAATCATAGTTTTCAGCTGCTCAGCTCACTTTACACTCTACAGACACACAAACTCTTTGAATGTATAAACACTGGTTGGTGGATATGCAGAGTGGCGCGTAAGATGTAATTAATTATCATAGCATGGTTCACTTCTGTCAGTGAACGTCTCACCTAGAAACATAATGACCAAGTAGAGCTGCAAAATGTAGGAGAAGCTCAGAGAATGTCCCAGCACTGAAGGGAGGGGGATGCTGAACAGACGAGTCTCATCAAAGATGGGCAGAGACTGGATCACAGCCACCGCTGCAAAGGTGAAAAATGAAAACACTCACAGCCTTAACTTGGATCAAACTTTAAACCATCAATTTTTTTTTATCACAACCTGGTCTCCAACGAAGCATACCAACCTTCAGCTATGACTCCTAGTGGGTAGAGAGGGATCCACAGGCTGTATCTGAGCCACGTTAAAAGTTTCCACTCTGTGCCCATGCAGGCCAGCATGTAGAAAGGATACCTGGTGTAGGAGGACAGAGCTCGGATTTTACAGACAGAAACAACAACATTTACAGAAACGTTAGGCAGGAGACCAGCTGTGGATCTGTGCTGACCTGAACAGCTCAATGGTGCTCCACAGATAGAAGACGAAGAAGACGACAGGCTTGTTCTGCATCTCCTCCACTGTCCCGAAGATGACAAACAAAATGACGTTCCTCCCAGCTACCTGCAACATGGAGATGTAGCCAGAAAGAACTTGTCAGATTGATCTCATGCTGCGGTCAAAGGGAAATGACTTCTGAGCTTCTGCCAACCAATCAGAAGTATGGGTGAAAAATAACAATAAATGCATCTTTAATGTCAATGTAGCTTTAATCCTCTTTGTTTTGACAAAAGTACTGTTTGATTTATTCAGTGCTTTGTCCTCAGCCCCACAACTTATATAAACAAATCCCAGCGGTCTGATGTACAGACTGAAACTTAAAAACAATGCTGAAAAAGAAGTGAATGAGAATAGAGACTCTGGTCATTTATTCAAATACTATGGTCCATACATGGGCCGTGTGTAACTATGGAGGGAACCATAAACCCACTCTGTCTGTTCTTTACCTGTATCATTGCAGGGATAAACCCAGTTTTCACCAGACCCAACAGAGGATTTATGACCTCGAGTACCGCCATCATCTGACAGAAGTACATCATATCAGCCATGGTGTGGAAGGTGTCATAGAAAGAGTCTGTGGAGGGTGAGAGACACACACAACAGTGAGTCAGTTCTCTGTTCATGATGTGGGACATTTACAAAACAAATGTCTGCGCTGTGTTTAAATGCAAATAGACCATATGTGGTTGGATGCTTTTGTTGGAGAACTAAGAATCTCCTAGTTTTAATACCGTATGAAATTGACATTGTAAATATTTACACCAAGGATACATTAGAACACTTAAGTCTACATAAACAGTGAGGCTACTGTACCTCAGAGGATGACGGTTTAGCTCATTTTCAAAAGAGAACAAATATGCAAATATGAAACAGTTTCAACAAAAACAAATATTCCTGGGGGAATAGAATTTCCTTTACAATCTTTACTTCCTAAACCAACTTTGACATTGGTTTATTAATTATAATTTAATCGTACGAAGATAACCTGGATTACTGTACATGATCACTAACTTAAAATGAGTCCTCACAGAAGCGACAAATTCATCTGTTGTCCTAATCCTTGAATACAGTGAAAATCAATGTGACAGTGTCACACAGATATTTGTCTTACTTTTGTACTTCTTTAAAACAAACCTTGACCGAGGATGAAAAGTCGAACAGTCATGTTGACAAAAATCCAGGAAAATCCAAGGAACTGCACCAGGTTGTACACAAATAGGTAGCCTTTCTTCAGGCCAATGTAGGCTGAGGGGATCAGACAAAAAAAATCACAAGGTCAGGTTATAATGATGATGTTGAAGTTGGTGAGACGTCTGTCATCAGAAACATCTAACGGTGTTCTGGTTGTCTTGATGGACGTTTGCAGGTGACTCACGGTCTTTGCGAACTCTTGACTCCACACTGATTTTGTTTAACCGCTTCTCCTCCTGAAAATAATACATGGAAACACATGTATTAACAAACATCTTACTTTAAGATCCTGACCCAGTCAACGGAACAGTAGAGAAACTAGAGCAGCTGCTCATATTAAAAACACAGCAGACCAGACCGTGTAAAGTAAAGCTTTGTTGGTTTACACTGCAGGGATACAGATACTGAAAGGCTTCAACTACATGTTGCACTTATTTGCATTTACCATGAGCTCACTTCGCAGTAACAGAGATGGCAACAGAGTGTTTATACAGACCAATGTGTTTGTGGGTGGAGAAGGAAGTTGTCATGACATCATTCTGTTTACTTTTTGTTTTAATAATTGGGCTACCAGTTCTTTGCAATGGGATTTTTTATATATATATATATATATTAAATAAACAGGTGTTGGTGTAAATGATCAGGTCTGTCAAAAGGGTGGAATTGTTCTGTGGCTGGAGCGTCTGCTGTACTCTCACTCTTACTCCCACAGACTATAGGCTACAGCCTTAACCTGGTGATACCTTCAAGGGCCAGTATTTGGCACAGTCACATTAATCGATATGTGACTTTAACAAAGAGGGGGGGGCAACAAATTAGCTATCACTGTGTGTGTCTTTAGGCGACATAGAGAGAGAGAAAGAAGGAGAGAGTGCGTCGAGTCAGGGAATAAATGAGACCAGCGACTCATTCTTCTATTTATTCACCTTAGCTTGAAGCTCCATCTCGGCATCAGACTCATCCAGCCAGCGATCAAAATCTGGAGCAAGAAAGACAGGTTTCTTTTCCTGTAGCGTCAGTCTGTCCCACCAGCGCTCTTCCTGCTTCTTGATCTTGATGTCCACCTGACGTTGGGTGGACTTGTGGTCAATCTGCAGTGAGCCATTACACAAAAAAAAAAAAGCATTATTATTTAACCCTCCTTTTACCAAGCTGCCTTGTAGGCTATGATTAGCTTCATTCTACTTAGTTATTACGTGCAATTATTCTGTTAAACAATGTGCAAATTGAACTAACGTTCAAGAGAGAAAAAACACATTACCTCAGGTCTGACCGGCTCTAGGAATGACAAACTGAACTCGTATTCATTATCTCCTTTGGCTCCGTGGCCTTGTGCTGTGAAACCATATTTAAATGATGTTGTAAAAATATTTGACCTTTCATGTGTTCACAGATGCTAAAATGACCACAGACCACAACGCGATTGTGAACATATCCAAAGACAGACTATGAGACTCAAAATACAAACCTCTAAACTGGAGCGTGTTGTTTTCCTGCAGGCTGATGTTGAGGTTCTGAAAAACAAAAAAATATTTGTGATACATGACACCAACAACTGAACATAAAATACAATAGAAAATAGGAAGGAAGGTCAAGAAACACAATAGAAAATAGGAAGGAAGGTCAAGAATATTATATTTAGTATAAATTATACACATTTAATCAATTATTAATTCATATGTCAACAACATCCTGGACAGTTCAGTCCATCACAGGGCCACATATGGACAATCATTCACACTGACACCTATTCTAAGGACTACTAAGTACTAATTACCAAGTAATATGACCCAAATACTAAATATTCAGAGTCCCTGACTTAAAGTCACTTCCACAGAGGGAACACACAGGGAGAACATGCTAACCATCATGCTAACCCTAACCCTAACTCCATACACAAAGAGTGAGCAGTGTTGCTGTTAAGAACTAACCACACTGTCAATAATATAACTAAAAGGAAATCCTACCAGCTTTTACCAGGGCTGCTATCACAGATAAAACAGATGGGAGCTGCTGACATGTGTTTTTCTGTCAGACAGCTTTAGCCTTTGAAGAGTATAAATTAAACCCTGAGACACCATTAAGGCTCATACATCTTTTATTAGCTTTGTGTCCAACAGATGGACAAGGCACAGACAGAAAACTCTGAGCCAAGGAGGAGACGAAACGGCATTTTATTGTAAATTATGTAAACACTCTTTTGTTCTGTTAAAATAATGCAGTGTTCAATAAAAAAAAGAATCGGCACAAACTGTAAACAATGACTGCAAGCGCAACCAAGCATAAGGGACTAAACTAGATATATATATTTTATATATATTTTAATTTCTGTGTTTTTGTACATGTTAATGTGTACGTTTATTCCTAGTTGAACCTTATCCAGTGTCTGATGAAGGCATACAATGAAACAGTGGGTTTAATTCAGCATGAATCAAATAATTTATGAAATCAAATGTATGCCTCATTATAATAATATACAGTCACATACCAAAATAACAGTAAACTAAACCAAACAAACCATAAATTCAAAAGGCAGGTAAAGGCATGTAAATTTAACCTTTGACCATTCATGAACAATCCTAATGAAAGTAGCAGAGTGCAATAGAGGTAGCTATTTTTCAATGAAAGTAGTCAATTCATTTTTATAATGAACAGGAGGGCTCTCATGTTTTGGTGATTGATTAACATGTCCATGTCAAGTGCCTTGACTCTTCTAGGCTTGAAGCTGAGGGCATCCATGTTAAGGCAGTGCAATGGCTTCTCTTCAAATCGCTGGGGAAAATATCAGTAAATAATTCAAGTCAGTCAGCTGGTAATAGTTATGACTGCAATGTGAGTTACAATTCAATTTGTAATGTAACTGCTTATTTAAATGTCAAAACCTGAAATCATTGTCCAAATACGTAAACCACATGCACTATAACAAAAAACAAAACATACCTAAACTGGACACATCTAGAAAACAACACCCGTACCTTCCGCCCAGAAAACAACGTTTCAATATCCGAAAAACAATAGCAAAACAAACTCTTAAGTGCTTTAATCTAGTCGTTTTGTAGGTTGTTAAGTGGTGCAGTCTAGTTGGTGTTGGTGTTTCCATTTAGTGCTACATCAAGTT